TCATCATTTATGTATAGCATATTTTCTTTATTCTTTTATCTCTTGATGGACACAAAAGCCACTTCAATAACCTGGCTCTTGTGAATCGTGTTGCTATAAATATAGCTGTGTTTATATCACTGTCACATAATGACTAATTCATTCAGAAGATAGCCAGAAGAGGTATATCTGAGTCGAATGGAATTTCTGATTTTAAGTTTTGGGGGAATCACAATATTGATATCCATACTGTTTGTTTACATTCCCTTGATTCTTTTTTTCTACAACCTTGCCACTACTTGTGTTTTGAGTCCTTGTTGATAGACATTGGTAAGATGTTATCTTAGGGTTGTTTAGATTTGCATTTCTCTAATGGCCAAATATACCATCTTTTAATATATTTCTTGGTCATTCACAGTTGTTCTTTTCAGAAGTGTCTATTTCATTTGTCCATTTTTAATTGGGTCATTTATTTACAGGTATATAAATATTTCCTGTACTTCATATAGTCTAGACACTCATCTCCTGTTTGAGTGGTACCTGGCATGTTTTTCTCATTCTCTGGGATATCTCTGCTTTGTTGGTTGATTCCTTCTTTAAATTTTTATTAACACCACATGTTTGAAGCACATAATGTTTATATTCACTGTAGGAAATGTCTACCTTTACATAACGCATTTCAATTACCTTCTTTTTACCCCCTCCTCCCACACTTGTGTTTTTGTTTTTTTTCCCAGCATCAGATTCATTTATCTTACGAGCCCTTAAAGTAGTTAATTACCTTATATTTAGATTGAAAATGGTTTACAGATGCTTGATTTGGTATAATTTGATCTGTTGATTCTTAGCATTATTTCTTGTGTAACTGGGGCTCTGCTCAGAAAGCCTTTGTCTATGCCTATGTCTTCAAGAGTTTTGCCTAATTTATCTTCTAGCATATGGAGTCATTCTGTTTTTATATCTAGGTCTTTGATCCACTTTGATTTTCTTTTATTACAGGGTGAGAGGTGGGTCTAGATTCATTCTTCTGAATTTGACTACAAAGTTTTTCCCACATCATTTGTTGAAGAGGTCATTTTTATATTTAGTGCATATTTTTAGTCCCTTAGGAAAACAAACAATGAAAGGAAAAAAAACATGGCTGAAGGTGTATGGGATTGTTTCTGCAACATCAGAACTGTTCCTTTGGTGAAGATGTTTATTTTTTTATGCCAGAACCATGATGTTTTTATTACTGTGGGTCAGATCAGTTATGATGTATATAATCTTTTTACTGATTTATTGTATTTTGTTTGCAGGTACTTTGTTGATGATTTTTCCATCTGTACTCATCAAGGAAATTGGCCTTTTTTAAACATTTCTCTGATTTCAGAACTAGGGTAATGCTAGCTTCAAGGAATGAATTTGGCAGTTTTCTTTTGCTTTTCATTTCATGGAGGATTATGAGTACTATTAGTGGTAGTTTTTCTCTGATAGTCTCTGGTTGGTATGCTTTTATCAGTGCTTCAATTTTACTCCCTGTGACTGGTTTGTTCAAAATTTTTATCTTTTATTTCAGTTTTGGAAACTTATATGCCTAGAAATATATCCATTTCTTCAAGAATCATCAATTAGTTAGAACCTAAATTTTTTTTAATAGTTTCTTATAATCCCCTAAAGTTTGGCTGAGTCTATTGTGCTTTTGCTTTTTTTTCATTTCTAATTACTTTGATGACTCTTTTCTTTCTTTCCTTTTATAAATTTGGCTAAAGGTTTATCAATCTGATTTATCTTTTCAAAAATTAACTATTTGATTCATTGATCCTTTATGTCGATTTTTCTTTTTTTAGTTTCAATTTCATCATTTTCCACTCTGATGTTTATAATCTCTTTTCTTCTATGAATTTTGGATTGGAATTGTTCTTGTTTTTCTAGGACCTTGTGATGCATGGTCACCATATTTATTTGAGGTACCTCTATTTTTACACTGGAAGCATTTACAGCTGTAAACATTCTGGATAGCTCTGCTTTCATTACATCTAGTAGGTTTTGGTATGCTGTGCTGTCATTATTGTAACTGGATCTAGCTCTCAGGTTGTTGTAAAGGGGCAATGAAGATTGTAGCCCACAAAACAGCAAACAGTAATCAAGTGGTGGGGAATGGTCAAATGTGTATTTATTAGCAAATATAAGAGAGAATCTCCCCTGTACTCAAAGGAGTGTTCTGTAAGGTAGACACTGTAGATGTTCAGGTCCATTGAGTTTTCATACAGTCTGGGGAATGGGTGTGTGAGACACAAATCCGTGATGCTCCTGGTTGTAGTAGGCCTTGGATGTCTGGAAGGTAATCTGCTTCATTTACATTTCACTTCCTCTAAGGTCTCTCCCATTTGGTTAAGGATGTCTTTGCCTTTGCTATTTCATAGGCCTTGATAGCACTTAATAGTGTGCTAACTCACTGAGGCCTGACTTTAGTTCACTTTAAATTACGTAGTAGGACCTGTGCCCTATCTGCCTAAATTTCACCATCTCCTGACTTCATTATCACTCAAATCTAGAAATGTTTTAATTTCACCCTGACTTGTTCTGTGGCTCATTTTCATAGTTTTTTCAGTGTATGTACAAAAGTGCAAGTATTTGCATGGCTTCTGTAGTTTGTTTTGCTATTGATTTCTAATTTTATTTTGCTATGATCCAATAGAATGAGAGACATTATTTCAATTCCTTTCTGTTTATGTAAGTATGCTTTATGTCCTGTGGCACAGTGTATTTTGGAGAAATTTCCATATGTTACTAAGAAAAATGTATATAATATTATTCATTAAAATAGTCTTAAAATATCTATTAAGTTCATTTGTTTGATAGTGTACACCATTTGTTTGATAATTCTTTGTTAAATGTTTTGTGGAGTTGACTTGGCTATTTGTGAGAGTGAAGTATGAAAATCCTCCACCATGACAATATTAGGGTCTGTGATCTCTTTAAATTCAGTAGTTTTTGACTCATGAAATTGGTTGTGACCTTCTTTGTCTCTTCTGAAAATAGGATCATTCTTTCAGCTTTCAAGATCCATTTGTATGAAGTATCATTTTCCATCTTTCACTTTCAGGCTGTGAGGTTTTTTGTGGATGAGGTGTATCTCCTGCAGGAAAAATATGACCAGACTTTGTTGTTGTTGTTGTTGTTTTTATCGAAGGTATCAGCCTATTGTTTTTCAGCCTATTTTTTTTTATTCAGGAGTTAAGATCATATATATTGAATGTTATTTTTGAAAGTGTTATGGCTTCTGTCTAGATGCTCCCCCAAAGCTTCATGCATCATAGGAGAGGCTTTTCGGTGGTGGCTGGATAGGAGTGTGTGATGCTGGGAGCAAGGGTGTGCAAATACTAAATTACTCCATTGCTCGGTTTGGTATAGTTCTGGGTGTAGATGATGGGAAGGCCCCTTCCCTGGGTGTGAGTGCTGCTCATGTAAGGGTATGTAGCTTGGATAGCATATAAGGGACAGAAAGAGGGCTGCTGCTGTCACTTGATCCTTCTTCACTACTTCACTGCTTTGCTACCTTCTGCCTACCATGAACTCTTTCTCCTCTGCAGTGTCCCTCTGCCACGTCACCCTGCCTTTGGGCCAGCCAAGTATGAACTGAAACCTCTACAAACTGTGAGCTAGAGTAAACATTTCCTCCTTTAACTTTGGGCGTCAGGTATTTCATCTTAACAAAAGAAAAGGTAACGAAGACACAGATTTTACGAAATCCTGTCTTTCGATTATTTTTGCAGTGAGGATTTCTTTCTTTTTCTTTATCTACTTTCTTGGTGAGATGTATTATTTTGTATAGGATCATTGGTGGCTTTGGCCTCACTGTCCCATTCTAGGCTTCCTTCTGAAGAGCCTGTTTAATTGATGTAAATATGTTTACATTCCCTTCATCACAGAAAATCTTTTCTTTCTCTATCTATTTTGAAGGATAATTTTGAGGATATATTAATCTGGATTGGCAGCTGTTCTGTTTGAGGTCTTGAAAAACTGTTCCCAAGTCTAATGCCCTTTAAATTTCATGTTGAAAAATACACTGTTATGCTGGTAGGGTTGCTTTTATGAGTTATTTGATATTTCTCACAAACAGCTTTTATTCTCTTTTTGGGCTGAATTTCTCAATTTTGTCTATGATGTGTCAAGGAAAAGCCCATTTCTCTTCATAGGTATTTGGAGTTGTATCACTGGGATATCCAATTACTGGAATATTCATTTCATTTTCTAGATTTGGAAAATTTTTGCTGTGTTTTTGATTAAAGTTTTAATGCATTTGGTGTTTTCTTCTAATCTTTTCTGATTTGTTCTAATTCTTAGTTTTTTTTTTTAATAGATATCTAGTAGCTGTTATATTCAGCTTTCATTCTTTATAATTTAAAGGTGACAGGTCCTTGGAGAAAACATGTTACCCACACCTTCAGTAGTGCAGCAATGACAGGAAGCCAGTAGCTACTCCACTTAGCTACAAGAAACCTAATTTCACAACCCGCCCCCACACAAGACTTGCTGTACCTGACACAGCCCTGTTTATCAGCCAGTCCTAGACGCATCACTCATGGGACTCTAAAATTTTCCTGCTCCCCTACCTAAATTCCCCTATAACCATGCACACCCTCTTCTCAGTGCTAACAGTCTTTTTCCTCTCAGCCCATCTGCACCCAGGCTACAAAAAACTCATTGCATGTTCTTAGATTTTGCCTGCCTCAGTGCTCTCATGATACTTCCAAAGAGTATCATGATCTACTACATTAATCTTGTCTTTAAATACTAGCAATCTCTCCTTAGATGGGTCACATCTGCTGTTCCTACATTCAATTGAATAGTTTATATACAGGATTTTTTTTATTCCCTTTCACAATTGCCAATTATTACTAAAGTGGTTATTTATATCTTGCATTTTATTCTTGAATTCAATAATGTTTGTGTCTTCTCTAAGCTCATTGAATATCTTATTTAAATCCTTTATCGGTTTTATTTACATTCTCTTTGGATTTATTAAACATCTTATGAAAAATGCATAATGCTTCATGAATTTGTATTCCATATTTGTGCAGGGGCCCTGCTGATGTTCTTCGTATCATTCAAATTTTAGTATATGTGCTTGCAGAGAAAGCACAATAAACCTTTTACTAAGCCTTGATTGCCAATTCATACTTGAAGAAGGACTATTTTTTATTACATTTCTAAGAAGTCTGCCACTAAAACACAGTGACCTACCCTCACCTTTTGTCTCTGTTTCCCTTCTGCCTATTTGTGCCTTTGGAAAAGAACCAGCATCATAACATTAACAAACTAGTGAAAAAGAAGATGCAGACTAGAAAGATTCTTATTTTTTAAAATTAGATATTATTCTATGGAAATACATTCTGAAGAAATTATATTTATCTTCTTGCAAGGCAAAATTATCTCTAATCAGTTAATGGCTCATATTTTGCAGAAGAAACAATGTTTCTATTGGCCATAGCCCACCAGAGTGTAATTTACTCTATTTCATCAGTTGGGTCCTGAACATTTCAGTGTTATCTATTCTTTCTCTAGCCATTCACTTCATACAAGAAGGTATCACAAATGATTTAGGTGAAATGTTGCCCTTAATTACATTGTAACTTAGTGAATTATATTTTTCCTTGTACTATTTAATGGTAGTGACAAGTTAGAATGCAGGTACATTATTTTTCTCTTGCATATCCACTACTGCACATTCTGATTCGGGTTTAAAAATAACAATGTAATGAAAGTATTGATAACTTTCAATCCAAAATATATATGTAGTTTAAAACATTTCCTCTATATTCTAATAAGATGATTTAAAAATCATAGCTTTGGAAATCTAGATGTTGTTAATTAATATGACAGACTCTGTTATTTCAATAATGTCCTCATACATAAGAGGATAAGATTGACATTTGTTTTTATTCTATTTAAAAATATGAGGAACAAGAGTAAAATGATAAATATACTGAACATCTTGTTTAAACTTCTATTTAATCCAGTGCCTAGATTTTATTTGAAGAGTATTCTTTCAACAATAAAATAATTATTTAAAAGAAATAAATTGTGAGAATAACACATAACACTCAGCTTTTCCCTCCTCAAGTTTCTAAGAGATTCTGAGTTGTCTTTCTTTTTTCTTCTGGGCATGAAAAGATAAGCCCCTCTGACTTCCCCTTCTGCTCATTTGTTTCTTCAGACTGTGTCTGTTCGTGGAGGGAATAGAAAGCATCAGAAAGCTTAGAAAGTAACATATATTAGCAGTGCCTGATTATTACATTTTCTGCCTGATCAATAAGGAATCATGCTATAACTCATACTCTTCAGTATTATTGGGGCATTTTGGCCAAAAGGAGAGAGAGGAAAAGGTAGTATTTTTTAAAGTTTCTATAATGAGATAATTTTAGACTCAAAGAGCTGTTGTACAAATAATAATGTTGCTATTTATTTCAACCAGTTTCTGCTTCTGGTCATGTGAACACCTTAGATAATCATAAACTACCAAAACTAAGAAACTAACACTGAACATCATTAACTGAAATAGAAAACTTAGTTGAATTTTAACAATCTTCTTGTACTGCTGTCCTTTTTAAGTGTCACAGCTCTTTCTTTCATGCGTCAGGTCTATTTAATTCTCTCCCAAGACTGCTTCAGCCACTTCCTCCATTCCCAGTCACGCACTCTTGAAAAATACTGGTCATTTAGTTTTATAATGTCTCCAAATTTGAGTTTTTCTGATATTTTCTCTTAATTTATTGAACTTAGGCATTATTTAGGAATATATCTCAGAGCTATATGTCTTTCTAAATACATCAGATTAGGAAGTATTTGTCCCGGTGTCTTAGTACTAGTGATGATTTTGACCATTTCACAAGAGAGGCGCTTAGTAAGACTCCCAACTCAAAAGTTATGTTACACCTTTGTTGTTACTAAAGATTTTGTATAACATACATTGAGATAAAAATAAATATCCTGTTTCTTACTCATATCCACTAATCTGCATTCTTGGGTGAAATGGTGATTTTCCAGCTTTTGGTTTATTTCCACCATTAATATTTGATTTGAAATTCCTCTATTGGGAATTTTTTCTATCCTTCTATATTCATTCACATATTTTGTTGACTATTATATCATATGGACCGATACATTTTTAAATTTTATGTAGTCAGTTGCAATTGAATACTAAAATGTTCAAAGTTTTCCAACTGTGGCTATTAGGGACCATTTTAGGACATTTTAGCTCCTTTCCTTATATTCAGGCACTCTAAGGTCCTTCATAATCATCTTGTTTTTCCTCTGCTCCTCTTCAGTAATCAACTATTATCTAAAGAGGCCAAACTTCTTTATTATGAAGAATGGTATTTAGATAATGGAGAATGGTATTCAAACTCTGAATCATAGATCATGAACTCATTGCTGCAACATTGTTACTGCTGGAATTTATCAGTGCATAAAATGTGATAGGTAGATAGAAAGATAGTCAAATGGAAATATGTGAGTACAGAAGACATTTTGTGCATAGATGCATATATTTTATGTACTTACATATAATATACAAATATGATAGTTTAAGAATGCTTAATCCATATCCCTGTGGAATAAAAATTCATCAACTAGATTACAGTAATTCTGTAGGGTTTTTTTTTAATTTAATATACAAAGTATTTCACCAAAATTTCTCCCTGAAATTATTTAAATCAGTGCCTTCTTCATCAGAGGACACATTTTAAATAAAGATCCTAGAAAATTTTATGAAACCTAAAATGAGTTCATCTAGGCTTCCACAGGAACTAGAACTAAAACCTGGAGTATTTCAAACATCTTCTCATATCACTATTTTCTATTTCTCACTACTGCATTCAGTTGTTCTCCCATGTATCATCATTTCTATACATCAACTGTCCTCACTCTCTCTCTCTCTCCCTCTCTCTCTCTTGCTCGCTCTCCCTCCCTCAACTGCTTAAAATTTTGGACACAGATCTAAGATATGACCTGGGGCTTTATATTTTAGACTTTTATCCAGCTACTGCTCAACCATGGAAGAAGCTGAGTTTAAATCTGGTGCAAAGTTTGAACTACTCCAATATTCTCATCAGTGATGATCATATTACTTCTCAGACAATTGTCTGATTGTTTTATATGTAAAATTATCAAAATATCCCAGATAAATTTCAATTTCATTTCTCAAAAAAACCAACAATATCCACTTATCTTTATTAAAACAAGAAGTCAATGATTGTTATCTTAAATTTATGACTCCAGGGTCAGGGTCACAGAGTTATGGTTTTCCTAATCCACAGTCTGTGCATTGCTCCTGTTGCCTGTATTTAGTGGTAATATCTTCTGAATTTAGCTGTTCTAGAACTTAAAACAAATAGTCTTAAGACCAAGGTCAGCACACCTTTTCTCAATAAAATTAATTAGCAAATACTTCCAGCTGAGGACCATGTGTCTCTGTTATACCTGCTCAACTATATCTCACAGCTTAAGGAAGGCATTATACCACATAAATGAATGACCATGAGTATGCTGCAATAAAAGGGGAAGGAGAAATGTGAGGGGTAAGGTAAAGGAAATAAGGGAATAGAATTAATAGGAGAAAATGAAACAAAGTCTTTGTAAATAGGGAGGGATGGAGGGGTTGAAGAGAGGTCAGGGAAATGGGGAAAAAAATAAAAACCAAGATAGATTGTGTACAGGTGCAAATTTCCAATGATGTATGTCATTATTTTGTATACCTAAAATGTATTAATAAAATTAATTAAATAAAAAAGAAATAAAATTTTATTTATGAGCGATTACTGAATTGTCAAGTATTGTGCTATAAAATAGTAAAAAGTTAATCATTAAGGGGAGAGAATTTAGCTCAGGGGCACAGCGTGGACCTGGCAAGTATGAAGTCCTGAGTTTGATCTCTAGCACTGGAAAAAAAAAAAAAAGTTAACCCTTAAATCTTCAAGAAAGTTTCCTTAGCTGAAAAACCAAGTAAAAACCTTCCAAGAACAAGATTTGGCCATGTGTAATAATAGTTTGATAATCTTTGTTTTATATTACAAAATTTATGACTTCAGAATACCTCACACACAAATTTGGAAGATAATAAGAATAATGGTAAAAAATTCCATTCAGGGAAAGAAACGTGTCATGCCTCAGCCATTAGCTCCAAAAAGTTGAATTTCATAGCCTCCCAAACAGAAATAGTGACTGACATAGGTACAATTTTGTTAGTATTAATTACTTCAGATTGATAACCTTATATAATATAAAGAAGGCTTTTCCTTATATAAGGTCAACAAAACAATCTCCTAAGAGGGAAGATAGTTTTGATTTGTGTTGTTATTTGTTCATTTGTTTCACACCGCTGCAAACAAAATCTACATTAGCTGCTCTTATACAATAGGAACTTTTCTAGTATTTTGATCATAATCATAAACAAAATAGCTAAAGCTCTAATTCACAAAAATCATTTTCCAGCATGTCTTTGGGAGGCACTCTGAGCAGATACCAGAAAAATTAGAATGAAGTAAAAATAAATGATATATCTGCATAGAGCTAAATGCTGCAGGAAAATTAATGTTGAATTGATTCGTAGGGGTGGGAGAAATGGGACAGGGTAAAGTTAGTTTTAAGTCAGGTAGTTAGATTAGATCTCACCTAGTAGATGAGTGACAATAGATGATTTAAGGGAGATGAGGCCATTAAATTTATGGAAAATCTAGGGGCTGAGAGCTTCTAGGAGAGTGCAAAATCCTGAGAGTCCTAATGTGTCTGGAGCAGCTCGGTGTGTCTGGAGCAGAGTAGGGCAAGTCAGGAGTAATAAAGAAGATTGAAGGACAAAGAGACTGTTGCATTGATTTAATTCAATGGAGAAAAGTAATCTTACCCAAGTAGATATATGGTAGAATATCATAAAGGAGAGAAGGAAGGAGGTAAGACAGGAAGAAAAGAAGGAAGAGAATAAAAACGGAGGGAGGTATTTTAGTCACTTGTTCATTCCACAAGTCCTAACAGCAAGTCAGCTATAGAACCTCCGTGAATCAGTCACCTTCCAAGCACATGAAGCTTTTGGGGGCCATTTTAGATATACCATAACAGGAGGAATAAAGAAGGAAGGAAAGAAAGGGA